ACAATTTGTCAAGTTTCTGAAATGCATATATACACACACATATATATATAAATGTGTGTGTGTACACACACACACACACACACACATACATAGGGAACAATTATCACCACAATCAACATTAAGAAACCTAGCCACCATCAAAAGTTTTCTTGTACCCCTTGTAATCCCTCCCCCCTTCCACTTCTCTCCATCTTCACATGACCTTTTTAGACAAACTTCTTGAACTAGTCATCTTTAGATTTACTGTCTCTTTATTTATTTATTTATTTTGGAGAGGTTTTCCGCTATAGGGCGCGTGCGCTCGCCAGACAGAGAGACAGAGACATAGAGACAGAAAGCGAGAAATCACCCCCCAGGGGGGATGGTCACGCCACAATCCCTTCTCCTCCATTCTCCTCTCGGGATCTTGGGCACGTACGCACACGCGCCCGGCGTGAGTTTTAAGCCACCGGGTCCAGGACGCGAACCACGGTCTACTACGTGGGAGTCCAGCGACGTAGCCATTATGCTAACTGCTGGTTCCCCTGTCTCTTTATTTTGTATCCAGTCATGCCTCAATTTAGATTTTATCTTCATAATTCCACTGTAAATGCTATCACTGTCATCAAGGTCATCAAGGTCATCAAGACTTTCAAGGTTTTTTTTTTTTTTTAAAGATTTATTTATTTTATTTTATTTTACTTTTTTAGAGAAAGACAGGGAAAGTGAGAAAGCAAGACACCAGGTTTGGGCCTCAAACCGCAGTCGGCCATGTGGGAGCCCAGAGCCTTAACCACCACGCCACTTGCCGGACCCAACACTTTCATGTTTTAATCTAATGAGGTTTCACTTCTTACTTGATCTCTTTATAGGATGTGACTACTTTCACCTTTGTTTAAACCTTGGCTTCTAAGACAACCTCTCTGGCTATACATTCTTATTTTCCTTTGAAGATCATCCATTTTATTATCACTTCCCTTCTATATTGATATCCCTCAAGGGTTTGTCTTAATCCCTCTTCTATTCTCACTTTTTCCAGGTAACCTCACCTACACATGACTTTAATGACAACTTACGTATAGTCAATCCTCATCATTCAAAGACTTACCATTTTCAAACTTGCCTACCCACTAAAATTTATTTGTAACCCTAAAATAAGAACTCAAAGTGTTTTCATGGTCAGTGAGAATCTGCACATTCCTGTTCCATGGCACTTGTTATGATTTGTATATGCTATGTTCCACCAAAACTCATGGGGAGGAGGGGAGGCTTGGTCCCAGATGTAATGGTGTTGAGAGGTAGTGGGGCCTTTTAAAAGGTTTTTGGGTCCTGAGAAATGGATTATTTCTCAAAAGAGTGGACTATCATTATCATTATTATTATTTAGGTTTTTGCCACAGGCATTTGTAATTGCTGGAGAGACACAGAGAAAGAAAGAGAGGGAAAGTAAGAAAAAAATCCTCCTGGTGGGGGACAGACAAGCTAATCCCTTCTCCATTCTCCTCCTGGGATTTTAGGCATGCCCCCACACACACCTGGAATGATTTTCAAGACACCAGGTCTGGGACTCAAACTATGGCTGGCCATACGGAAGTTCAGAGCCTTAACTACTGTACCACCTGCTAGCCCCAAGAGTGGGTTATTATAAAGTGGGTCAGGGGCTGCCTCTGTGGCCTGGTGGTTAAGGCACCCAGATCTCACATGGCTGACCGCAAGGTTTGAGTTCCAGATTCAGTGTCTTGAGAAAGATGTTGGGCGTGTGTGTGCCCAAAATTCTGACAGAATGGAGAAACAGACAAGAAGGGATTGTGGTATAACCGTCCCCCATGGGGGTGGTTTCTCCTTCTTTCTCTTTCTGTTATTCTCTGGCAAGCAGGTATACCCCTGGCATTTTTTTTTAATGCTAAAAAAAAACCCCAAAAACAAAACACAAAAAAACAGGTCAGCATTCCTTTCACGTGTACTCTCTTCTCCTTCCACTTTTCCATCATGTTATGACACAGCAGAAGGCCCTCACCAGAAGTCAACTAGATGTGGCTGCAGCTCCAGTCTCCAGAATTGTGAACCAAAACTCTTCATGAATTACCGAGTCTCAGGTGTTCTGTTATAGTACAGAAAGCAGACTAACACAGTACCTCAAAAGGAACTGATCTTCCATAGTCTTAAACCTGTTCTTCTCCAGTGGGGAGGCCCACCTCCTACTATTATAGTTGCCTCCATGGGAAACCTTTATTACCAAGCTCACTAGGTAGCTCAAAATTCAGTGGATTCTGAGGAAACACATAGGAAGGCATCATTTGCCCAGCTATATCTGACTAAGGAAACGCATATTTCTAGGCTACTAGAAAAAAATTCAAGTTCTGAGACCAGCAGTTGGCATAATGGCTATGTCGCTGGACTCCCATGTATTTGACCACAGTTCGAGTCCCAGACTCGGTGGCTTAAACTCACGCCGGGCACGTGTGCATGTGTGCCCAAGATCCTGAGAGGAGAATGGAGAAGAAGGGACTGCAGCGTGGCCATCCCCCCCCAGGGGGGTGATTTCTCACTTTCTTTCTCTATGTCTCTCTCTTTCTGGAGAGTGCACATGCCCTATAGCAAAAACCTCTCAAAAAAAAAAAATTCAAGTTCTGATTCTCTTATTGTACTAGGAAAGGCAGGGAAGAGGACACAAAGTAGCTGAGAGAATGAATGCTTTGTATAAAGAATTTCAAAAGATCATTTGAAAAGGACCCTACAAATAAATACCCTACATAAGCTGCCTCACATTTATAGTCTTTACAGTATATTATATCTAGTTGTTTTAACTCAGAATTACACTAAAAGATACTGAACCTTAACTATCTCACACAAAATACTTCAAAGTGTGTATACCATAGCCAATTAGAAGAACTATTTCAATTAACTCCAATTATTTCAAGACTTATATCAGCTGTTCAGAATCCCAAAATTGGGGCTGGCCCTGTAGTCGAATGGTTAAGAGAGTTGGATACCACATGCTGGCCACAGTTCAAATCTTGGCCCTGGCAGCTTGAAAAACACACTACAGGTGTGGGCATGCATGACCAGGGTCCCTACTGCTGGAGAAGTAGAGAAGAGACTGCTATGTGACTACATCCTTTTACGGGTGCTTTCTCCCTCTCTTTCTTTGTCTCTCTTTAGAGAGTGCTCATGCCTTCTGGCAATTAAAAAAAAAATCCCAAGAAAGAGGTTTTAAAAAATATTATAAATATGATATATGTACATAATAAGAAATGTCACTAGTTCCTAAGTGTGTGTGTATACATATATATACATATATATACACACAAGAGAGAGAGAGAGAGAGAGAGAGAGAGAGAAGTAAAAGATCTCCAATCCTTCATATCCATTTTGTAGTTTGGTTTCTTGTATCTTCTTACAGACAATTCTTACACATGTAGTAAGCATATATGTGTTTTGCTTTTAACTATAAATAGAATAATAACATATACACAGCTCAGCACTTGGTCTTTATTACTTAATAATAAATATACTGAAGTCATCCTCCTATGTGAGTATATGTACAGAATACCCTTTCAGTATACCATTTCCTATGTCAAGGATCATTATCTGCTTGAGGCTACAAGAAACTATGTGTCAGTTTTCCACCACCAATTCAGTTAGTCTTCAATTCCCATTTTTCTACTTCTTAGTCATCTCTACATTTATTTCATTTCTCTTCATATCCCCAGCCACTTCCTCGCATCTGCTATGGGCTACCTCCAAACCACACTGCAGACGGTCATTTTGTCAAAATGCTTTCCTGATACCGCATTCTTAATTTCTTTTAAAACCACTATCTTAGTTTATAAAAATATCTTGTTAATGTAAATACCTAATTAAAGTCTGTCTCCCTCAAGAGGAGACTGTAAATGCCACAAGGGCAAGAACTGTTTTTTTGGCTTCCTACTTTGCATATACCTGACACACAGTAGATATTCAAAAGAGTTACCAAATACATGAATATAGACCTGCCTTACTCTTCTTAAAATAACTGTAAAAACATTCCACTTAATAGATGTCATAATTTCTTTTAAGTGGTTTCCAAATTTTGCATATTGCAAATAATGGGATGACCATTTATAATAGTGTATCTATAAATATACTAAAATAATTTTTATTATTTTTTTTGCTAGAGAGTATGTGCACTCACCAGAGACAGAGAGAGACAGAGATAGAGGGAACCTGAGAAATCACCTTTCAGGGGTGATTGGCCCCACTGCAATTCTTCCTCCTCTATTCTTCTTTTGGCATTTTGGGCATGCATCACATGTGCCCAGTCTATTTTTCCAAACTCCCAAGTCCAAGACTCTAACAGTGAAGCTGGCCATGTGAGATACAGTGCCTTAACCTCCATGCCACCTGCAGGTCCTATATATTGCTTCTTTTTACTGTCGGTATAACTTGTACATTTCTTTTATGTCCTTTAAATATGATACTTCTCCACAGACTCAGGCAGTATAAGAAAAAGCACGTGGATAGCATCCCCTTTTCTAGATCTTCGCTATGTTCTTACTCTGAGTTTCTATTTTCTGGCCTGACAAATGAAAGCATTGCTTTAAATTACCACTATACAAATAAAGTTATAAGACTGATTTCACTCTTCTGATTGAAGATTTCCTAGAACACACAATATCTGTATTTAAGAAAGCAGATTCCCACTCCCTCTGCCCTACTACTTGGTAAGCATACTCCACTGAAAATAATTTGATTCCTTGTAATTCGGAATCTTTAGCTTTTTCAGGACAAATATTCTCATCAGAATTGATCTTATTTGTACTGATTCCAGGCTCATATACCAGAAATTCTTATCTAAATAAGAAAGAAAAATCACAAAGTATAACCTATTTTCCTTTTTACTTAATTCTATTACTGAAACAGAAATATGAAGAGATTTGGTTTGGGAGGGTGTTCTTTTAATTGCCCTACTAAAAGGGTTTCACATACAACAGACTAACAGTTCTTTTTGCATACAGATTTATGAAAACATTAGTGCTCACCTTAACTGGGAAGCTACATTTTCCAGTGCGGACTCCTTCTTCATCTGTCTGCCACTGATGTGGACGACTGGCTTCTGGAACGTAAACATCTTTCTTTCTCCTAAAACTCTGCCTTAGTTTGTTCATTTTAATTTTTACAACCTACAAGATAAATGAAATATGAAAATATTATCTTCTCAAATATTTAAACTTTGGATTCTCATTATAACCCCTATTACAAATTTATATACAATAAAGGATTAAAGGTTTTGGTTTAAGGGAAAATGAACAATTATTCAATTGTACTCTTCAACTTAGAATAAAACTAAACTACAACAAACAAATCATTTTACTCTTTAAAAATACAACTACAATACTAGTCCTTGTGAAAAAAAACAAACAAACAAAAAAACAGTGACCTTGAGTAGAATCTGAAGAAATGTCATTCCTAGTAGAATCTGAAGAAATGTTATTACAATAACTTCAAAGCACTTTAATTGTAATAAACAAATCCTCCCTACCAATTTTACCTCTCAAACTCACTCCAACTCCTAAAAATGAAAATGTGTACACATCAATCAAATTATAAACTAATAGCAGTTTCTAAAACCTTCATACTTATTAGGAAAAAGTCATTCTGAAATACTGAATTTAGGGATCTTTTTGCCTAAGTATTAGAAGATACTAAGCAAAGTAGGAACTACAATCATTTTGTTGTGTTTTTAGAGGTTTTTGCCTTAGGACATGGGTACTGGGGGAGGGGGTAGAGGGTAGAGCTGTCTCACAGTGAGAGGGAAAGTGAGAAATCACCCCACGGGGAGATGGCCATGCCACAATCCCATTCTTCTATTCTCCTCCCAGAGTCTTAGGCACGCACACACACTCACCTGGAATGATTCATTTATTTATTTACTTTTAATTTAATCTTATTTATTAACATTATTTTTACTTTTTTTTTTTTAAGTTGACCAGAGAGAGACAGAGAGAGAGAGAGAGAGAAAGTGAGAAAGCAAGTTGCCTGGTCCAGGACTCGAACTGCGGCCAACCTTGTGGGAGCACAGCCACCTTAACCACCATGCCACCTATTGACCCTTTGCCTGGCATGATTTTGAAGCTACTGGGTCAGGGACTCAAACTGTGGTCAGCCATGTGGAAGTTCAGTAGCGTAATCACTAGACCATCTGCTGGTCCCTACAGTCACTTTCTTTTTTTTTTTTTTTTAAAAAATTTTTTAAAGCTTCCTTTAAATATATTTAAAGAAGGCTGTCCCCATAGCTTAGTGGTTAAGGGAGCTAGATCTCACATGGCCAACTGTGGCTCAAATTCTCACCTTGGTGGCATGAAAAACATGTTCTGTGTGTGTGCACGCATACGAGTGTGTGTATGCCCAAAATCCCAACAGAAAGGAGAAATGAAGAAGGGACTGTGGTGATCATGCTCCACTGGGGGCTTTCTCTTTCACTACCCTTTCTCTCCCTCTCTGGTGAGCACACACACTGTCTAGAACCTTTAAAGAAAAGAAGAAAAAGAAGAGGAAAAGGTTCTACCAGAACTTAATTAGTCCACATTAGCCAATTTACACAAACAACATGCTGTCTGAATGTACTTTCTTATCTATAACCACTACAGAAATCTAACAATGACAAAGGTCCAAGTTTCATCATTATCTATAAATTAAAAAAATGTTTTGTTACCAAACAAGGCATCTCTTGACTGCTGTCAAGATGCAGTAGAAATCACAAAACTACAGAGAAGGAAGAGAAGCAACTAATAATAACCAACGGCACATTCACAAAACAATGAATAAACATAATCAAGTAAGTGTTCTCTCACAGGTCGAAATCTTAAAATCTGAAACCGATACCTCCAGTTTTCTCTTAAGGAACATGGCTCATTCTTTCTCTGAAGGATTTAAGCACCTCAACCTACCTGTAAGTGATCTGAACTCAAGAAAACGATATGACAAAGCTATAAAAAGAAACCATCCTCTCTGTCAGGCGTGTTAATAACAATGGATTGAACATTAATTGACACCAATGAAAGACATGCAAATCAAAGTTTGCATTCTGAGGAAAATCATTTTACATTTTAAAACACATAATGCCACCACAGAACTATTAACAAATTAGCTAATTTACACAGACAAGCCAATCTTACCACCCATCTTAAAAGGTAAAAATTCTGATAGAGGAGTGGCAATGTAAAAATCTCCTATTTTCTAAAAATGATTATAAGCAGATCTCCCATTCCTAAACCACCTAAATTAAAGTCTAGCTTAATTTAAAAGACTTCCAAAAAAAGAGTTCCATAATCTTTCTTGAAAATATGTCCAGTTAAACTCCTTCATATCACATTTTTAAAAAGTACATGTATAGTTACAAGAAAATAAAAATCACTTGTTCATGTTGGCACTTTAGGTATCTTGAGACAAAAGGCCTATATGATTCCGGGGCTGGCAGGTGGCATGGGGATTAAGGGTGCTGGACTTCCACATGGCTGACCATGGTTCAAGTCTGGGACCTGGCAGCTTTCTTTCTCAATTTCTCTCTCTCTCTCTCTCTCACTCTATCCCTCTCTGGTCAAAAATCATAAAAATTGATTAATTTAAAAAGTTAAACAAAATAAGTCTTAAAAGAGAAAAACCTATATGACTCCTTTTAAAAATATTTCCTTCTCTTAACAAAGACAACTACCCACCTACTCACCTGGCCAAGCCAGATACCTGAAAATCATCCCTGCATCAACCCCTTTCTCTGGCCTATAATTCTGCTAATTTTACCTCTTTACCATCTCTTAAACTCACCCTTCCCCCACCCAACCACCACCACATCAGTCCAAATATCTTGAGACATTTTTGTTGAAATTATTGCAAAAGCGCATTACTTGGTCTTGACTCCAATAGAGCTCCATTTCAATCAGATCCTGAGTACTGCCACTTTCAAACATAACAGATACAGACCAGAAGCCTTCAATTGCTTCACACTCCCTTCGATTCAAAGTCTAACGTACTTAGCATGGCAAACACAGTCCTTTTTCATCTGGCTTCTCTCATCAGTCCCCATTCACATGCTAAGCTCTAGCTACATTAAACTACTTAACAGTTCTCTAAACAAGGCATGCCCTCTTTCAGAGCCTCTGTAAATTCCTTCCTCTGCCTAGACAAAGACCTTTCCCTGTTCCCTTCCAGTTAATGTCTACTTATCTTTCTGCTCAGGAGTTAACCTCTTCAGGGAAGCCAACTAGCCCCTACCTGGCAGTAGTTCTGTCCTTCCACTTTATATGCTTCCCATTAACATACCCTTCAACCAACTTGGGAGCTAAATATTTTGTCATTTTCACTAACTACCTAGATAATTTACTCTATGTGACTCTTGAACTATGCTTCAAGTAGCCCTAGAAATTCCACAGAAAAGACCCACTGGATGTTTAGAGGGAAAGA